ATTAAATTAGATTAGATTTACTCCTATAAATAAGAAAAATACACATATAAAATTGAGCCTACTATGTGAGAACCAGTACATTTAATATCGAATTTTCTGTGTATCTACAGATGAATAGAGTAAATATAACTCACTCCCTAAGTTGATATTTATCTACTCGACTCTGAGTGGAGATTTGTGAAATAACCTAATAGACCGAAACAGATTAAATATGATGGTGTGCAACCTTTAAACACTCAGTGGTTGTGTATCAAGTGTCATAACTACTAACAAATAACTCCATTATTTCGTCTTCATAATAAGCCCGGAAGAAATAACTTTTGTATGCTGGTTGTACTGTTACTCAGACATTGGTCACTGGTATGGATTATTCCTATTCTATGTACACATTTTTAAAAACAGTCTGTTACTCAAGATTATTTGAATAATTTAAAACAAGCATTGCTAATTTATATTAAAACCTCATAGCTTCAAGCAAAATACTTAGTACTACAAGTAAAGATATTCATTATTGCTCTCCTATTGATGACAAATGTATCTTACAGGTTGTTCATTTGAGTTTAAATAATAAGATGGAGTTGTAATGAGATTCGAGACAGATTTGAATTCCTTTGAGTGGTTCTGAGGATGCTATATTTACACATGGGAGATATAACTCCTGATAAGTAGGTAGGGTGTATGATATTTACGAGCTTGTAACGGTTCGGTTAGGCAATTATCTAAGCGTTGTAATGCCATCAAAAAACATAACGAATAAATGAAAGTGAATTTTCGTGCAGTTCAACACTTGAATACGCACTACTTTATGTTAGATGGTTTGTTTGAAAACTAGAAACACTATGGACGGATGATAAAGCACCATATTTTGTGACTAGACAGTTGAAAATCGTATGTTTAAACCACTAAGCTACACTTCCGTAATTCAGTTAGATACATTACAGCTATTTCTATCAAATTAGTAAAAACATACTATTCGTCCTTTATAAACTTCATTTGCTTCAGAGATGGCATTGTCCCAGGTTTCTCGACTTCCTCTGAGTCTATTATGAGGTTGATAATACCTAAAGTAATTACATATAAGGCAAGATTGTTACAAAACTTACATTGTTGGCCATCCGAAAGCCATTTGATCCTCCTAAAAAGTAAGGTGTTATTTATTTCAAAATAGCAAGCTGAAATTTACCCCAATAGTGTAAGGGGCAGCGAAATCATATATAACACCATATGAATTAGCTATTCCCATATGTCCAATAACAGGAAACAGCCATCTGCACTAGTAATAATGTTAGTATATATGAAAGCATACGTTAATAAGGGAATTGGAGTCCATACAATAGAGTATGGGAATCGATGAAGTAAGGGAGTAACTGCATCAATCCTGTTTTCTACACTGCGATGTTCACGATCATGAAAGTTTGGAGGGGAATCAGGGTTGATTTCTCCCACCTTCAAAAGCATACAGAGATGAAAATAAAAAGTAAACCATCAGAAATTAATGAAGGACGAAACTTCTAAACACAAAAAAAGTGTGATATTCGATAACTTGATTAATATTTTGAAATAATATATTGGGTGGTCCACCACAAAAGACTAAAAATTCCATTTCACTTGGAATCTCAGTAATAAGAATGAGACCTCGTGAAAACGTGGGAACCCGAGGGTCATGTAGCATCAATTAGTGAGTACATAAGCTAAATGACATAGGGATTTTTCGGCTAGATGTGAAATGTTTGAAAGTAATGACGATTATTATCACTTAATCTGTAAATACGACATTCACAAGGTGGAATAGAAAACGAGCCGTTTGAAGTGTCATACACAGTAGTCAGTCGCCTCTAAATTATTTTCATATGGAATGAAGAAACACCAGTTCTTCTCCAAGGAATAAGTCTCGTTAAATAAACGACCCTGAACACAGCACTTATGTAATGCATACTTTCATATTGCCAACTAAAGGATGGTCCAATATCCAATATCTCCAATATCTTTTCTACGACCTAATATAAACCACTTGATTTCTTTGGGCACTATTCTTATTCTTTCTCTATAGTTCCAGGCGTTTAGTAGTGTCCAATGGATGGGGCCTAGCCACTCAACTGTCGAATTCTAGTCAGTTGGCAGTTCGTTGTGAGTTTGTATCTCCAGTGATTTGAATTAATGCCTTAAATAACGTTATGAAAAATTTTGGGCTGATAGCGAAAAGTGTTATTCGCATAAAAAGAAGAGTTGCATTTGCCTCGGCTGCGCCCCCTGTATAGTTCGAACAGTTGTGGAGACTTCCACTTATTATTAAACCGAGATCGAGATCTGAGGGGACATTAGGGAGCGGACTTTCAATGAAGGTGTAAATCGTTTGTGTCATGTGGGACAGAATTTTTATAACGTGGTTTATATCTAAACCGTTTTTCAATGTACGTTGCACAATGGATGTAAGGTCCTTTTGTAGCTCAGTCGAATCCTCTTCACTTCTATTGGACCTCTAGATCTTTACATCATCTGAGTAGATAAATGCCGGTGAGCTACCTTTGTGTAACAGGTCGTTAATCAATATCAGGAAAGAAGTGGAGGAGAATCCACGAATTAAATGAGAAATGAAAGCAATCGTGGGAATAACGTATCAAGACCCAGTGACTAATCAATTCTGAGATTCTTGAGCAGTTGAGGAACGGCTTTTTTACTCATAAGTACTAGTTCTATGTCTTATATCTTATTGTCATGTTTATGGAATGTGTAGTTAACAGTACACGTCGAGAACGCCTCTCTAGAATAGTTCGATAAAGTTTCAGCTTTGGCCGAATCTAACTCAGCAAACAATTCTAAATTTTCGTGCAGTAATAATAAAGAAATTCCATCACTACATTTTGTTCCTCGTTGAATGCACGAATACACTTCTTATGGGTAAGTCCGACTATCACATGCCGAGTTTCTTTCCTACGTAGCACGACTTAATAATGTGGTCTTTTTATATACGGATCCCAGAAGTGCTTCCCACGCCACTGCAGTCCGCGGGCTTCCCTATAGTTCCTTAGAGTGCAATGTGGAACTAATGCGTAGACCATCAGATGAACGACGATGATACAGACTCAAATGTGGCTGTAAATTTATTCCACTCATCTTCGACCGACCAATCCTCACCGATCAACCAATCTGTTCGGATATCACAGCCTTTGATTGTCGGGATGTTAGCCCACCAGATAATGTAACAGAATGGAGTAGAAAAATTATGGACATCATATGTCTGAAACCTAAAGTATATGGTATATTATGATATAACGTGGTTGCTGTTTGCCAGTGGAAGGTAGATGTTAAATGTTGATGATATCATCGCCATGGTTTGTAAAAATAAGGTCCAGTAATGTTAGTTCATGCCCTAAACAAATGTGAATCAATTTCACGATACATTGCACAAGTGCACACTGAATAGTAGTTGACAGGAGGCTGCTGAAAAAACATAAGCCCAAAGCTGTGAAGTTGAGTCAGTGGGTGAATGGAGTGTTGAAATCCCCAACGATGAGATAAACAAACTTAATCATAGTTTAGATATGCCTTGGGACAAAGTTACCAGCAAGACCATATGGACAACGGTAAATCCTTCTTGTGGTCTCCAACCCATGCCTAAAATCCAGTATACAACAAGCACTCTTACAATTACCATAATCATGCCCGTTCGATGTGCTTGACTGAACTCCAAAATGGTATCACACATAGTAAATTGCACTCCTCTTGCAAGCTATGACCCCACTGCTTCTAAAACAGCCGTATCCTGCGACTACCGAGGAACAGTCTACATCTATAACAAGCCACGTTTCTCTGACAACGAATATATCCGGACTTAATTCATCCGTCATTAAACTTGGCTTGAAACTTTTGCTTCTAAGACTGAGAGCGTTTGTGGAGCACACATATGAGGTGTTTCAATAATCGTTCATTAAAGCTGAACAGGCCTCAGAAATATTTGTTTCTGAGACATGACTAACCGAATTCAGTAGATCCCATGATTTGTTTCACCATTTTGTTTTCTAGTTTTCAGCTCAGTGAGCGCATTTTTTCCATTTTATCCAATCTTCCAGTGCCCAGTTAGGTCGGAACCGAATATTCGATATGCGATTTTAGTGTACGTTACTTATGAAAACGTCTCTTTCGCTGCAACTCCCGGATACAAGGCTTAAGTTCTCTTTCCCACAGTAGGTTGTTGGTGATAGTGTCCGGCCAAAGGATCTGAAATAACTGCCGTAGATAAATGTTTACAAGTACTTCTATATCCTGGATAATGGCTTTGGTAGTTTTCCAATTTTCCACCCCATACAGTAGAACCGTCTTGACAT